GGGGGGGCGGGCGGAGGCTGTGACTTCCTGGTACTCGGCGAACGCCCGGACGAGTTGCCACCGCGCTCTCTGTCCAGGGTCGCGGGTCGTCCCACGCCGGCCGGCGAGAATTCATTTAACGCCTCTCGGGAAACGCCCTTCCAAGTAGCAGGGCCGTTTCTCGGAGCACACGGCCCATTGGTGTCTGCATGAGCTGTCTGCCCGTTCCCCCCCCCCGGGGGGGGGGGGGCTCCTTGTCTGGGCGAATGGAGAGCACATCCCTCCTCGCCCCCCCTGCAGTCAGGGTGCCTGTCCCCGGGTGCATCTGGGCGTGGTGCAATCCCGCTATTCCTCTGAGTCCCTGTGCCGGGCGGGCACGCAGGCGCGCGAAAGGGCCGTCTCGTGCGTGGGATGTACGAGCGTGCGCGTGTGTGTTTGCCTGACCCGTGGCCGAAGGCGCGCGGAAGCATTATTAACATGCTGGGCCTCGCTCGCGACCTGGCGCCCAGGGAAGGCCGCCGCGGGTCCCCAGCCGCTCCCGGTTGTCTGCCGGCCCCCTCGCCCCCCCCCCCCCCCGGCGCCCCGCGTGCCCCCCCCCCCCTCCGCTTCTCTCTCTCTCTCTCGCGCCCAGCCCCCGCCCCCCGGGCCCCTCCCCCCCCCCGGCGCAAGGTCTCCTTTGGGAACCATGCCAGCTGGTCAGATCGGGGGTGCCGGCCGTCTCCGCCCCCCCCCCCCGCAACGCGCCGCACCCTGCCCACCAGAGCCGGGCGCCTTCACTCCGCCTAGGCACGCGGCCCCCAGCCAAGCCCCGGCGCCAGGGGGGGCGGAGGTGTCTGGCAATATGCGGGCATGCCCGCGGCACCTCGGCGCCGGCCGCTTGGCGCGCGGCCCTCCTCTCTGGGCCGGGCAATCTCTCCGCATTCCGCTTCCGGATGGGGGGGCGGGGGGGGAGCACGGTCATGCGCGGGGGAAGGCCGGCGTGCGTGGAGGCGGTCTCACCTCGGTGGGCGCCTCGGCATCCACGCCGGGCACTCGCCGGGCACTTGCCGCGCACTTGCCAGCCACAACCGGCCCCCAGGGGCGCTGCCGTAAGAGGCCGGCCACACGCGTGCACCGGGGTCCGGCTCTCGTGTGTGTGTGTGTGGCACACAGTCCGGACACATCGCCCAGGGGCCGATCCGGGCCGAAGGGGCGAGGTGTCCAGGCCCAGACGCCGGCCCGCCGGCCGGCGGGCCGGTGATCTGGCGCCTGCGGTCGTTCTCCGGAGCCCGGCCACCCCAGCAGGGCACACACGGGCCCGGTGATCTACCACGCAGCAAATGAGCCCCCCCCCCCCCCCTCGCACGGGCCGGCGACATCATCCGTGCCACTGGCCTACCCGGGGTGTGGGGAGCCGGGGCCATCGCTTGGCGTCCATGAGACCCGCGGCCCCGGGCGCGAGGGCCGTCCCGAAGGGGCGCACCTCGCAGGCCCTCGGCCTCCCTTCCCGGCGTCGGGTCCGGTCGAATCGGGGGGGGGGGGGGGCGGCGCGGCGACGCGCACGCGCTCGACCGCGCCCGGCCGCATGCCGCCCCGCCACCGAAGACCGCCCGCAGGGGCCACCCGGCGCCGGGTGGCCCCATGCGCCTGGCGGACCGGGACCAACAGAGCAGCAGCCATGGGCCGGGGACATGATATGCCCGCCGGCCGGCCGCAAGAGGCGACCCCGAGCCCCGGGCATGGCACCATGGGGCAGGGGAGCATGCCGACGGCTTCGCGCAGCCAGGCAGACCAGCCCCTCTGAAGTCGGAGTTGCCTCGGCGGGCCCTCCCTCTCTCCAGCCCGGTGCGTGTGGCCGTGAGCAACTGGTGTCGGTCCCGGGCCGTTCCCCCTTTTTCCGGGGACCCGCCCATGCATCGTGGCACCGCGATCGAGACCGGCCCCTGCCCTTCCCTTCTCGGGAGGTCCGGCCGCGGCGGGCCAGCTGGGACGGGGACCCGCCCGGGCCCGCCGGGGGGAGGGAAGGGGGAGAGGGAGGGAGGGACATGCGCATCCTCAGGGCCGGACAACCACGCGTTGCGGCCCATGGCTTACCGGCCGGCCGGCCACCCCACACCTCAGCCAGGGGCACAGGGACGCATTCCTCTGACATTCGACGCCGCCAAGAGCGCCCCTGGTCCTTGGGCGCCGAGCTGGGGGTGGCATCGGCGGCAGTCGGCGCCAGCCAGCTGTCGAATTGCCTCAGCGGGCCTGGCGGCAGAAGAGGGGCCCGGGGGCGCAGGCGCTGTGGTGCATGTTAGCCGCGGGCAGTCATCTTCTCCTCGTGAGGGGAGGAAATGGCACACCGGCGGCGGGGGGGGGGGGGGCCGAGAAGGCCCGGCAGAGGGGGACCTTTCCGGTCCAGGGCCAGCTTGTTTGGGCGTCGGCGCCAGCAGCACAGCTTGCGTGGCCCCGGGGCTCATGCTTGGCCCAGGAAGCCCCCCCCCCCGCCCCTAGACACTCCTCACATCAGTGTGTCACCATGTCCTCCTCCCTTTCCCCCCAATGCGCAGGCAGATACGGATGCACACACACACACACACACACACACACACACACACACAGGCACACACACATAGATACACACACATACACGCTCTCACAGCACGCACGCGCTAGCGCGTAGGGGGGGGGGGGGGGGG